AAGTTGGGAGATCAAGAGGGAATTGTTTTCCTGTGGGGGGCCCAGGTCCCCAGGTCCCAGTGTTTTGATTCTCTGGAGTAGAAATCTTTGGTTCTCATGGCACATCCTGTTCCTGTTCAGAGGAGCCATCTGCAGGGCCCCATTCTCAGGTAGGTGCCAGGGAGAAGGTAAGAAGAGGGGAGGAAGAGAGGACAGAGTGGTCATGGATCTACAAGGAGTTTAATGGACAGTCAGAACTTGACTGTCCCCATATGTTGTGTGTGTATGTGTGCCTGTGCACTTCTTACTCCACCCACCTCTCCTTCACTTTATTCTTCCATGTCCATCTCTTTTTCTTTTTATCACTTTCTCTGAACTATGGTAGGTGTGGTAGCGGGGGTTCTCTTCCTTCTCTCCTTCCTAGTCTCCAGTATCTTTAGTTTTTAAAAAAATGTATTCAGTACTGGATCTCATTTTGCAGCTTGGACTCATAGTGAGCCTCCTATTTTCAGCCTTCCCAGTGCTGGGATTATAGGTGTGTACCACCATGCTCAGTCTTGGTGGCTGGCTCAGTGCACCCTGTGGGGTGGGATTGAACCCCTTTCCCTGCGCTTGCCTCAGCAGGTGCTTGGTCTGCTGAGCTATCTCTCTGGGCCCCACAGCATCTTTAGTACTTTACATACCTTTAAAATTTCTTTATCTTTCTTAAGAACTCAAGCTAGAAATAGAACTCTTTATTCCAAGTCCCCTAGCTTGGACTTGTTTCATCCTAAGCCTCCTACTTATAGTCACCTTCTTTTTTGGGGGGGGAGGGTAGGTGCTGGAAGTAGTAGCAAGGGCTTTGGAAACCCTGAGAACAGGAGCCATGTGATGATGCACAGAATTGGGTTGCTGGGGGCTGGGGAAGCTGGGCTTCTCTGGGTGTTAGTGCCCAGATTCTTTCAGTTGGCCGCCTTGAGCTAGGAAAGGCTTGGGCCTCCCAGGTGAGGAGACCTGAGGCTTTTCCTTCACACAGGAACTGAAGGTAAAGGAGAAAATGGTGGTAGTAGTAAGGGTGAAAATAGTAGTATTAGAGGAAGGTTCCAGTTTTCCATGGGGCTGGTTGAGGATTGGACTGTGCTGAGCATCTTGTCCTACAGGGAAAGGGACCATCCCCATGGCTGGTTCTCAGAGGGCCTGCCAAAGGGCTGGATTCAAATTGATATGGGTGGGGAGAAGGACTTCCTGCAGAACAATGTGGTGTGGGCTTTGGCTGGATCTGAGGAGATCCTTATTGAAAGGCTTTGGAAAAAAAGGGCCTGCTGGCCAGCAAGTACTGTGTATGTGTTTGACTTTAGGAGGGTGCGGTTTAGCATCTGTGTCCTTTCAGCTGTTTGAGTCCAGCTCCTGTTCTTGGATTCATTCTTGGTCAAATTTATTCTTTAATTTTCCCTCTTCTCTTTACCCCCTCCTCCCAGTAACATCCAGATCATGTTTAGTTCAGATTGCGACAAAAGCTATACAAGAGCTCCTGGATGAGATCTAGAGGCAAGAGGAGGAGGAGCTTGGAGTTCAAGTGGAAGGAGTCGTGTGTTTCAAGTCAACCTGTGATTTTATTCTTCTTCTAGACTCACTGTGAGAGTCTTAGAAGCTCTGGCTTGGGGGTGTCACCTGTGAGCTATGGTGACAGAGTTTTTCCTGTTTCTTATTTGTTGAATGCTCTCTGAGTACACACTGTTGCTCTGTGTACGGAGGTCAAGGTACAGCAATTACGTCAGTGCCACCCAGGTGCTTGTCATCTTTCATAGTTGGACTGGCTGAGGCTGAAGAAGCTCTGGGGAATGCTTTCAGCCTCTTTCCACAAGATTACAGTTGTTCTGCTCTGACATCTTTATTGTTTGGACGTATAAATGGGTCCCATTAGTGTGAGCTGTGGGCCTGACCAAGCTGACTGAGATTGATAGGACTGACAAGTTGGATGATCTTGGACAAGTGATTTAGCCCCTTAAAAGGTTATGTGAGAATCAGATTACAAAAGAGGGATGATAATTATCATAATTATTTTATCTCTTTCATTAGAAGGCTTCCTAATTACCTGCCTTTGAACTAGGCTTCCTCTTTTCCAAGTGGATTTAGAGTGACAGGGTATGTAGGTGCTTGCTGAGTTTGAAGGGAGCGTGGTGTGAGCTGGGTGGCGTCAGTACAGGGCTAGTTAGTTTCCTATTCCGATCATGTTTATGGAAAACAAAGCTTTTGCTTGTGTCAGGCTGTTTGCATACAATATTTCATTTAATCCTCTTTTTAAAATTTATGTAGGGGCTGGGGAGATGGCTCAGTAGAATAAGCGCTTACCTGGCAAGTGCAAGGGCCTGCATTCAATCCCTGGTTCCGAAAAAAAAAATATATACATATATATATATATATATGTATATATATGTATTTGGTACAGGGTCTCACTACACAGCTTGGACTTGTAGTAATCCTCCTGTTTTCAGCCTCCCCAGCACTGAGATTACAAGCATGTGCCACCATCCCTGGTCTCTGGTTGCCTCAGTGCACCTGGTAGTGGGGCCAGGACAGCATATAGTACTGGGGATCAAACTCAGCTTCGAGTGCTTGCCTAAGCAGGAGCTTAGTCTGCTGAGCTATCTTGCCAGCCCCCTTTAATCCTCTTAATAGCCTTATGAAGCGGATTTGTTATTATCTTTACCATTTCACAGATGAGGAAATTGACATTCTAAAAGCTCTCAAACTCTAGAATGGATTAGAATCATTTGGGGTGTTTAAGAATGTACATTCCCGGAGCGTCTCCTCAGAAATCCTGATCCAGCAGGTGTGCAGCAAGGTAGAATCTAATGTTTAACATGTGTTTAAGGCAGTTTTGATTCTGGGAGTCTCCAGGCCATGTTTTAATAAATACTGACTAAGAGTTAGTGACTTGCTCAGAGGCTCACAGCAGATGTTGATAGCTTTGAATGTGGGGTTCCAGCTTTCTAGACTTTGCTGCGCAGTACGCTTTGCAAAAGTGCCTCTGGTGCTGGGGTTTTTGCGCTGGAAATGGAGTTAGCATTTCCTTCTGTATCTCCCTGCTCACAGGCCCATTGTGAGGATAAAATGAGATAATGTAGGAGAAGCACTTTTCAAAATGTAGAGCTGGCAGCATCCTTAGTGATTATGCAAATACATGCAAATGAGCACCCGTGGGTGTGGCTGTTCACTTGGGAGTCAGTGCTCAGATGTGTGTTGTAAGAGGTAGGTCTAGAAGGAGACTGGAGAGCTGTGGTGGACCTTGGCCCCTGGAGACAAGAGTTTTGGTTGTAAGAGGGCTGAGTAAAGTAGGTTAAAGTAGAAGTGGGACTTCGGGACAGACAGAACCACAGAGAGAAGTAGAGGCCTTCCTTTTTGGGTTGTGTGCCCCTAGCTTCCAGGACTCTGGCCATTAGGAATAACTGCTGTAGGAGAGGGAAGCCCTGGCTTGTGCCTGGGTCCTGGACGCAGCATGTACCTCTTTGTTCGTGATCTCTAGTCTATTCTGGAAGGTGCTGGCTGGCAGCCCCTTTCTAGCTCTTTAGCTGGGAAAGCCTTTTGTGACATCTAGCCTCTCTCTAGTCCTCCTCCCTAATGAAGCTGGAGCTGGGACTGAGTGTTAGTAAGCCCGCCCTCCTTCTCATGAGGCAACCCGCTGTTTCCACATGGAAACAGTGCAGCAGGGAAGCTGGAAGTGAGATTTGAAGATAGCCCACTGGCAGAGGCTGCAGCATCATCTCCAACTCCCTCCTCCTCCCGTTTTTACCTCTTTCCCTTCTGCCCCATTTGCTCTCAGACATGTTGGCCAGAACTGCTGGGCCTTGAGGTGAGAGTTGGCTGGTGATTACTTCCTGGGGCTGGCTATTTCGGGCGTCCCTATTCCAAAGTTGCTGCGACCCCAGGATTCTAAAGCTGCTTCTGTTCAGGAATGCTGCTGTCCTCCCTCCCTGGCATCCCTGGGAATTGATGCTAATTTCAGCCTCTGGTCCCTGACTCATGCTCTTTTCCTCTCTGACTCATAAGGTGACCTTGGGTTTTTGAAGCCCCTCTCAGTGGGAATTGCAATGGCTACCATTTCACTCCAGTGTTGTTTTAGGTGGGGTGGGGCAGGGCTAAGGAGGGAAGGAATGTTTTATTTCTTTCTTCAAAATTGCCACCTAAAGCTAGAGAGCCTGTGTGGTTTTTACTGCCTGGGCTGGACTCGCCAGACTTGAACCTCTCAGTCGCTGACCCTGGAATTCATGTGGGCCAAACATGGGGGGAATCATCCCTTGAGGCAAAGCATCCAGTCAGTGTGCGCCCTGGCTTTATCAGATCACTTGTGCCATGCGAGATGCTCTGGCTGGGCCAAGATAGGCCTAATAACCTGCCTAGGCTTCTCTCTGACACGTGACCGGGGAGCCAGGGGTTAACCCAGCTTTGTCCTGGTTGATGGATTCTGGAATCATAATCCATTAGCTCTGCCTGTGTGGAGTGAGGCCAGGCGAAAGCATTCAGCTTGGTCTTTGTTCTGTGCTGTTTGCCATCCCTGCCAGGGACAGAGGGCTGTAGACATGTTCCCTTCCTCCCTGTCTTGACCAAGAGACAATGAAAGACTCCTGGGGGCTATTTTGATTGCTCTTCAAAGCCCTCTTCACTAGGAGAAATAAGCAGTTTCAGCTCTCATTCATATATGAAAGAAATCATCCCCAAAACATCACCATAGGGACTTGTTCCTGCGTACTTCTGCTCAGCCTAGGCAAGCAGTTTAAACAAGAGTTTGCAGAAAATACTGGCTGAAAGGGCTGGGCGTGGTAGAGTCAGGAAAGTCTGAGGTTAAAGTTTGGTGATAGATTCACTTAATACTGGCAGTAGCCTTGGCCCAAGATGAAAAACATTACTTGCTGTTATCATTAATTTTAGAATTATTAACAATTTATGGGTGACTGAGGGTGTCGCTGTAAAATACACCCTATTAGTAGGCTCTGTGACAAGGTAGCAGCATCCGAGCAGAATGTCTTATCCACACCCTGCAGGCTGCGCTACATGGTGAAGCAGTTGGAGAATGGAGAGGTAAACATTGAGGAGCTGAAGAAAAACCTGGAGTACACAGCTTCTCTGCTGGAGGCCGTCTACATCGATGAGACTCGGTGAGCAACACCCACACACCTGAGAAGAAAGGCTTCAGAGAGGGGGAGTGAGATGGAAAGCTGGAGGCGAGGGACGGGAGACAAAGACAGCCAAGAAGAGAGAGGTGACTGGGTCACACTGAGCTAGTGGCAGAGATAAAGAGAAGAAGAGACAGGGATGCAGAGATAAAGACAAACACAGATAACACGAAGGAGGGGTATAGTTCAGCAGTAGAGCGTTTCCCTAGCATTTGTGGGACCTAGGGTCAGCCCCTGGCACCAGAAAATGAGAGAGAGAAGGCAGGGAGAGAAGGAAAGGTGGGAGAGGGCCTTAGAGTTGGAAGAGGCCCTCTAGCTCATCTGATCTTCCCCTTCCCCGTGTGGAAGACCTCTCCGTGCTGCTCAGCACAGTAGCCACCAATTACACCTGGCCGTTGAGTGCTGGTGAGGGTGAAATGCAATGTATAAGTACATCACGTTGGATTCCAAAGTTTTAGAAAAAAGAATGTAAAAAGTCATTAGCATATTTTATGTTGATTTACACTGAAGTAATATTTTGGAGGTTTTAGTTTAAATAAAATTTATCATAAAACAAGCTTCACATTTTTATTTTTTAAAGTTTCACATTTTTAAACTTTAGTGTAGTTACTAGAAAGTTTAAAATTTCATGTACGTAGTTGTTTTTGTTGGATTGTTCTGTTGTACCTATGGCAAAGATGTTCCTTTTCTTTCATGAACACTTCCTTAGTCAGACACTTCCTGCTCCTATAAGTGAGCTACTTCATCCTTGGAATTGCTAGCTAATGATATAGAAATATAAACAAATAGCAAAGGAAAGGAGAGGGACGGCCTGAGACCTGGAGCTGGCTTGAGAGTCACTAGGTAAGATGTACTCATTCCTCCCCGGGCCTCAGGCAAATCTTGGACACAGAGGATGAGCTCCAGGAGCTGCGGTCTGATGCTGTGCCTTCAGAGGTGCGGGACTGGCTGGCGTCCACCTTCACCCAGCAAACCCGAGCCAAAGGCCGCCGCGCAGAGGAGAAGCCCAAGTTCCGAAGCATTGTACATGCTGTGCAGGCTGGGATCTTCGTGGAACGGTGAGGTTTGCACATTCAGCCTCCCTTTCCCTCTTGCCATGACCCCTCTTTCCCTAGCACCCTGGTCTTTCAGGATCCTGTATGCCTGTGATGCATCCCCGTTGCTCCATTTGGACAGATCCTTCTTCCCAGGACTTTACACCTCATTTCTTTGCCTTCCCCTCTCTCAGGATGTTCCGGAGAACATATACCTCTGTGGGCCCCACCTATTCTACTGCAGTCCACAACTGTCTCAAGGTGATCCTTGGGTTTTTGGAAAAGAGGTGAAATTTGGGGTTGGAATAGCCATTGAGGCTTCTGGGCTCTGTTTTTGGTGTGATTTTTTACCTTCCCTTTAACTGTTTTCTCATGTTATGTAAAACAACTTTTGCCCACTCTATGGGCAAACCCTTGTCTTCTTATCTCTCCTATACTGAGAGATATCTGGGCAGAAAGAGGCCAACTCCACCACCTTTTGTGGTCCTACTTCCTAAGTCTCTGTAATCCCTGGAAAGTCCTTCTTGAAATCTAACTGTAGCACCAAAGGGTGCTCCCTTGCCTAGTCCATTGTTTCTCCACAGAACCTGGATCTCTGGTGCTTTGATGTCTTTTCCTTGAACCGGGCAGCAGATGAACACGCCCTGAAGACCATTGTTTTTGAGTTGCTGACTCGACATAACCTCATCAGCCGTTTCAAGGTCGGACAGCATCCTACCTGTGCCTCCAGGAAGGAGTCTTCACTTCTCTCATTCCCATTCTGAAACATTCTCAGCACATAGAGTCCATGGGCTCCTCAGTCGGTCTCAGCCTCCAAATCGTCCCCAAATCTACTGTAGCCCAGCCCTCCTGGTTCTTGCTGCAGTTCCAGCCCCTGACCTTATTGAGGAGGATAGGATTTTAGCCCAAATGCATTTAGCTTTGGATTCTGCTCCTCCTCTTGAACTCCCCTGACCCTACTTGTCCTCAGTAGCCGACTGTAGTTCACTCCCCCTTTCTGCTCCTCTGTGGGCTCCCCGGGCCTCGAGTCCAGCTGCTGTCACAAGTGCCCTTTGGGACTAGAGTCTCTGCTTCCTAACACAAGAAAGGGAGATAGAACAGGTCATTTCCTTGCCTGTGACCCAGCTCTTGACAGGGGTGGGCGGGGCTGTGTGCAGGGGCAGTGTGTGTGAGCTCCATTTGCTCTGTAGCTTGGCTGCCTGGGAAGAGTGCTCTGGGCTTCATGGATTCTCCAGAAGTGGCACTAGGAGGGAGTTTCTTTTGGGAGGGAGTAAAAACTAAGAAAAAATACTTTCATGTGGAAAACATTTGGGAGTGTTGGGAGATAGTTCAGTAGAATAAGTTCCGGAGTTCAATCCCTGGTACTGGGGGGGGGGGGAGAAAAGGAAAAAGAAAAACTGCACTTGGAAGTAGGGAGGAAGGGGTTTAAGAATTGTTGTGGGTCACTTGGTTGGCAGGGGAGGGGACATTAGAGGTGAAGGAAGCGTGGTCCGAGTGGCCATAGAGGGAGGCAGTCAGGTGAAGGGCCCTTTCTGCTGGGCTGTTGAAAGTTGGTCCAGCTACCTTGGCTTTGCTTCACTGGGACAGACTGCTCATCCATGTGTGCCTTCCCTGGACATGTGACCACCTCCTTTTTCAACAGTTCTGGAGAGAGTTTCCAAAACTTTTCGTGAGGTGCTCAGCTGACTTCAGTGACTTCCTGGTGCCAGTCCTGCTGTTTTGTTGAATTTCTCCCAATACTGCCCTGCTCAGGGCAGAGACTAGCAGAGACTTCTCCCCATCCTGGTGTCCACACCAGTTCTTTTTTTTTTTTTAATTTTATTTATTTATTTATTTGAGAGAGAGAGAGAGAGAGAGAGAGAGAGAGAGAGAGAGAGGCCAGCTCAGCCCACCAGGGGGCGGGCTG